TTGAGAGCAATTGCGCAACAAATTGTCTTGGTCAGTGTTCATGGTGATAAAAATTTTGAAGCTTATAATGGAGGCATTTTCAGAGGAGAAAATGATCAAGGACAAATGAAGAAACTGAATCATTCAATGAACGCTATTGGATATTATTATGAAAAGGATTGTATAAACCTTGAGCACTCATGGGGAAATAGGTGGGGCGAGAACGGATGTATTATGTTTGCTATAAGGACTGGTGACTGATATGCACTAATTAGTAGTGCATAAATGTATATTTTTATGTTTGATTTGTGTGTATTGTTTACCATTTTATTTAGTTTGTAAACATTTGTGTGATTTTAGTTGTAATTATATTTTAGTTCTCATTTGTAAGTTGTAAAGTAGAGTTAGGATTTATGGTGTTGGAAAAGAGGACTTTGAAGAGAAGAAAACAAGAAATTTGAATGCCCAGGAGCAAAACCCGACCGGGTAAAAATCCCCACCCGGTCGGGTTTTATTCAACAACCGAAGAAGCAAGGAAATTGCCAGACCCGGTCGGGTCCCCTATTCCACCCGGTCGGGTCAGATGTGACCCGGGACAAAACGACGTGCTGAAGATCACCAGAACGTGGAGGATAACTGATTTTGACCGGACCCGGTCGAGTAGGCACTTGACCCGGTCGGGTACCCGGCCAAAGGTGTTGAAAAACACCTATAAATAGCACACTTTTTCTTCTCTAAAAATCATCCCTTCTTCCATACTCTTAAGCTCAATTTAGAATAATATTTCTTTCATATTTTTTTCTAGCATGTTTAGTCTCCAAATGAGGAGCTAAACTCTTCCATCTTGGTTTTGCTACTTTGAAACTTAATGAATTGTAAGTTGTGAGTTATTTTCTTTAATCTTCTTCCTTGAATATTAATTATTAGTTCTTTCCTTAATACTATCTCTATATTAATGTTGGGGAGTGTTGCTAAGATGACAATTAGTTAACATCTTGACATTAGTTATAGTAGTATTTTCTTCCTCTATATTAATGTTGGGGAGTGTTGCTAAGATGACAATTAGTTAACATCTTGACATTAATTATAGTAGGATTCATCTTCTTTAATAATATTCTTCCTTGAATATTTATTAATTCCTATTCATATTTCATATTAATATTTTGAGCATTACTTAAAGGATCAACTAGTTTTGTTTCATATATTAATTATTACTAGAATCAATCGGTTAATACGTTTGTTATTAATTCGGTTCGTTCAACGGTAGTAAACTTGGATTATTAATGCATGTGTCTCATGGTTCGTAATCTAAGGGGAATTAATTATATTGATTACACCAATAAACCGCTTGTGTTGAGATTATCAATCTCAATCGTTTTCATCTTAAGTTTATTATTACTATCGGGTTAATATACGGCACGTGTTCTATATTGACTCGGTAGTAAGTTTTATTAATGAACGCGTCTCGTTATTAATAACTACCCTCGATGAACTGGATATACTCCTCGATTGAGTATTCGAGAGGAAGATAGTTAAAGATATAACCGGATCGACGAACATTTCAATAAGTGGATAAAAGCAAAACCAAGTCCCCATCTCTATTAATTAAATTCATATAGGTTGTTCATCTTAGTATTATTAAATCAAATCATAAAAACCCCCCTTGTTACTATTTAATTAAAAGAAAAGTATTTCTTTCCTTGTGGATACGAACCTTACTACGCTATACTACGTATTAGTGTTGTATTGTATTTATTATTTTGAGTGCATGCCACGACAAAGTGCACGTCAGTGACATGGAGGGCATCAACGGCTTATATAGGTTGACCTTTTAGGATGAAATCTCGGGTCTTATCATGGTATCAGAATCAAGTACGATTGTGGTTTCACGGCTTGTTTAGCATCCATGATTAAGGGTGGCTTGTTTAAGGGTATGTGTGGCCCATTTATACACCTCGATATTGTCTGGTCCGGTTCGGGATGAGGGAGCGGGTTAAAACATTTTTCCCACACCAAAAAGCTATTCTCTTCATCTCTTAAAACTTTGTCAAATTTTCTTTTTGGATGTCCCACTAACTTTGTCACTTACCCTTTTAAGTAAAGAATTTTTTATTCCATTTAATCCTCTCTCTTCTGCACAAACCTCAACCACACACTTTTTACTTTATTAATCCATGTGACGGTCAAACTTGGCAAAGTTTTAAGGGATGGAGGTAGTATAAAAGAATGAAACATTATATAAGACTTTGAGCTACTCCTCCTGTCAGGTTGATCTTTTAGGATGAAATCTCGGGTCTTAATAAATGGTGTTTGAGAGCTGATTTTAAAGGCTTATATTCAGTCAGACAAGGTTATAAACTTTTATTTACTTTCCAAGCTGAGAACGGTTTCCCGTTTACCACTTAGGCTATGTTTGGTACAACGGACTGAAGCTGGAGGCTAATGCCTGAATTAGGGGTTGTTGTCTGAATAAAAGACTATTGACTGGAACTGAAAATTGAGGTGCTGAATCTGAATCGCTAGCTGCATCGAGTAGACCCGTTTGGCAAAAAGAACTGAAAAAATGATAGAATAATGTGAAATTACATCAGGGGGCATATGATTTATTAATAGGATAAGATATTTATTATGATGTTTTTTATATTTTCAGCCTTCTAAAATTATAGAACGATACTTTTCAAAAAAAATTAAAATGATACGGAGTATATAATAATTATAATAATATTATAATATAATTCGAGTGAGGCGACTTCCTCATAAATCTTTGCACGGAGTATTATTTTTCTTTAAATATTACTCCATATTACTGCTACTCCTCTCTGCTAGGCACCCCCTGAAATTTGGCCTTTTTTTAAATCTCATTTGCTTTGCCTTTGCCACAAACCCACAGGCAGGGACGATTTGAAATTACAGAAGGCTATGAAGAGATTTTGAAGCCAAGGGAAAGAGCCGAAGAGCCAAGGTAGCATGCATGGAAAAATTATAGGCGTAGGGATATAAGTGGTATAGAATGTGCGTTATTTAATAGGCTGAATAGCAACGCTTGGACTAGCAACGTTTTAATTCAGTCTCTTTTTTCCTACATAAGCTCAGTTCAGCTATCTCTCTAAACGAGGCTACCTTTACGATAGTTAGCTGAATTTAAAGAATTTCAGCCCTTTTATGAGCTGAAATGGTAGGTCAAACATAGCCTTAGTCCAAACTTTGGCGTCTCAAAATACCTCCTAAGGCTATGTTTGGCACGCATAAGTCCATGCCTTCTAACTTTTGTACTATTTAAAAAGTCCTTAAAAGCTTCTAGTTGTATGTTTGGCATGCCAATTTTTAAAAGCTTTTACAAAAATAAAAGATCTTTTTTTGAGATGCTACAATGAGTAGCATCTCAGATAAGTCTGTAGCTTCTAGTATTAATTAGTCCTAACAGCTTGTATACCAAACAGAGCTAAATCAAACAGTCGACTTTTTATCAAACAGCTGTTACCTTTTTCTTTTAAGATCTTTTCGATCACTAAAAACCAACAGTTACTAAAAAGCTTATAAAAGTATCTTTTCAGCTATGCCAAACATACCCTAAGTTTCTCGACTTTATTTGGCGGTGTGCTCACCATGTTCTTCTAGTACGACGTACTTTGCGTAGCAGGGGTATTGATCTCAATAATATATACCCCTTTTGCAATTATGACAATGAATCCATGCAACATATATTCCCGGAGTGTTCTGTAACACATACCATGTGGCCTGCTTCTTTCCGAAACTTAAACCTATACATGGTGCTCTCTTTATACCTTGGCTGGATATTTTATTAATTCAGGTTCTGAGGAGGAAAAGAAGAAAGTTGTTGCGTACTTATGGACTGTTTGGAAAGCCCGTAATGAACTCATTTGGAATGACAAACGATTGGGATTCTCAGAGCTGCATTTTATGACCTTAAACCTCTTGAATGTTTTGTGGAGTTCCGGATCAGACTCTACAACAGTCAAAAAAGTTTTGAAATTCCAAAATAGAAGTATCTTGTTTTTTATTCCTTGAATAGGAGTAAATTTCTGTCAAGTTTGGCATTACTAGGCTTTAAAACATGTCATTTTTTTCAAACTTGCCAGATTACTTCTATTCATGGAATAAAAAACATATACTTCTATTTTTTAGCTCAGGCAACGAATTCTCAAGCTGATTTACATACTTCATTATTTACCATCCCTTCTTGTATTCAACATATTTTCGATTGATATATTATTATTTTTGGCTCAAAAAACATTAATTTTAGTATACATATAATTTAGAGATACAGATTAGGTTCTAATCATGGCTAAACTTTAATCGTATCCCCAAAGATCTCCCGCAGATTCGAACCTATATTCCTACTTATTTTCCGGGTCTTCTTCTTCCCTTATCCAGTTATCCATTCACATCATTATACGTATTATGGTAAGAGCATCTACATACGAAGCTCTTCTGATGGGCTCTTTTTGACTTTATCCAATATGGACTATGGAGTAGTAATTAGTCTTGCACTTTTATTTTAATACTATAAATAATTCTAGATATGGCCGCCTTTAATTTGTATTCAATCTTCTTTTACAAAAAGAGATGGGCGGGCATTCAGACATGGGAATGGTGAGTTAATTAAATAAAATATTCTCCCTGTACACCCTTTTTTGTATATACTACGAGTATCTTACACAAATTTATGAATAATTATTTTTTGTTTGTGAATAGTCTGTGCACAAACAAAACATGGTTTTGGTTTGTCTGTGAATAAACAGATAGAAAAATGCTGCTCACAGACGTGTGTAAGATGGTGCATACAAAAAAGTACTATCACCCGTATCATAATAGTTGTAACATTGAAATTTACACACTATTCATGTACTTTACTTTGACTACATTTTATTTATCAATGTATGTGAATTATTTTTTTGGAAAAATATTGTTGAATTCGTCTTATTAGTTTCATAATCTGATTTTTAAAAGTTTTTTTTGCTAATAGAGAATTAAATATTATGACGGACAAAGTGGTGAATTGTCAAACGTGAAAAAAAGAATGTTGCAGCTAAAAAATGGAGAAGAATATAGAAATAGTTTTTTTGTAATTAAATAATACAGTTGAATTAAAGTAAAGTAACGTCCCCTTCCTCCGGAAGACCGGTCGCTAACTAGCTCACTCACGTACGTCGATATCCGGCCACTGGTCTGTGTGGGCGGTGCTTCATCTCTCCTACTCCAACCAATCATTAAATGCCACGTTCCTCCCCATCACACCTAGCTGCTTGCTTCCTAGCTATGAAATCTCGCACCCTCACTTTCCCGCCCTTCACACTATAAAAGCTGCTTCAATTGCTATATATATAACTTATATATAACTTCTTGATTTCTTTCTATTTTAATCAATTAGCAACTCCTAAAGTACCCTACAACAATGGGAATTCTTGATCATCTTTACGACAAATTTGATTGCACCACTGGCCGCTCCCGCCGCTACAAGAACCGCAGGCAACTCCAGGTAACTCGATCGATCTGTGTGTTTAGACATAATGGATCATCAATAATGCACTTGGAATGCTTAACATGTTGTAAATGTATGCATGATTCGACGATCAGACGGTGGAGATAAGAGTGAAGATGGACTGCGAAGGGTGCGAGAGGAAAGTGAGGAGGTCTGTGGAGGGGATGAAGGGAGTGAGCTCAGTCCAGGTGGAGCCCAAGCAGCACAAGCTCACCGTCGTCGGTTACGTGGATGCTGACAAAGTGGTGGCTCGAGTGGCATACCGGACCGGGAAGAAGGTGGAGATCTGGCCCTACGTCCCGTACGGAGTCATGGCACATCCCTATGCGCAGGGGGTGTACGACAAAAAGGCTCCGGCCGGGTACGTCCGGAGGGCGGAGGATCCGCAGGTGTACCAGCTAGCACGCGCCTCTTCCACCGAGGTTCATTACACCACTGCATTCAGTGATGATAACCCAACTGCCTGTGCTGTCATGTGATGGAATAATGTTCTTCTCAGTAATTCACATACCGGAGGATATGATATAACCCCAACCAGCTATCATTATTGGATCAGATGTGTTTTATTTCATACCAATCTTTGATTTAGTTCGTTTTCTTTTCATAGTTTTAGTATTAAGTGAGGACAAATAGTAGTTGTTACAACTTACAAATCAAACTCATAACCAGAGTTTGTTTAAAATAGTGTTTGGTTTCTTAACGGTTGAAAGCTTGAAATTGACAACATACCTTCCATCCCTCTTATATCAATTGCTTCTATTGTTTTTCATTTTGAACTTTATGAGAAAATTTTACCAGAATAGAGTAAATGAATGAAAAGTGATAAGAATCGAATAATTTAAAAGGGAAAGACATAAAGGAAAGAGAAGTTTTGGAGAATTATTATGTAATTTCATACCATTATTTATTTATATTTATTCACCATAAAAGGAAAATGAAATATATACTTCAAAACTTTCATCTAAAGATGGTACTACGTAATTGTAATGCGGAAGAGTGCTAAAATCGGAAAGTATAATAAGCATCTTAAGGAGTAAGCACTAAGGAAGCACATTGGCCCTGTGGCTGATTCGGACCTAACCGCTGCAAAATGACATAGTAAAATGCAGAAATTACAAGTTTTAGAAGTTACCAGTGGCTGAACCATTTAGGGAGTGTTTACTGTGAATCTATGACATAGTAACATACTAAAGCTAAATGAGTGCTTAAAAAAACTGAAAAATGTGTTTTCAATGAGTGCATCTACTTGCAATTAATCAGTTTAAAGTCAAAATCTTAATGCACCCAAATTTATGAAACGAGTTACTTGAATCTCAGACCGTCCAGTCCATGTGGGTAATTTTAACTACTTTTCATTTTTTTCTATTACACAAAAAAACACTTTCCACCAAATAGCATTATAGCAATGCTCCCCCAACTTTTACTTTTTTCAAAATCAGAACACTGTCAGCTTTTACTATGAATTAATTTTCATATAATCTCTAAAATAAATCACTCTTCAAAACTAGAATCAAACACATTCATTTCCATGGTTATAGGTAATACAGAAGTTACAATTTTACTGAAATGATGTTGAATGGGATTGCTACCATAGTATGTTAGGTAGTACTGTATTTCATTTAATTCATTTTTTCCCCAAAACTAAGCTTGAATACTAGTACAGTTTAGATAACTCCAACACAACATAATCAAGTTCCACCATTGCAATCAAATTTGACTCTACGGGAGAAAACCTTCTGCTCGGGATATTTTAGTCATTTTACCGAGTCAATGTAGGGGGGGGGGGGGGGGGGGGTTAATCAGTTGAAAAGGGCAAAGGAGAATAAAGAAATCATAATGTACAACATAGTACATACTAGTATACTACATAGCCACCCACCCACCATCATGTCGAAGGAAGCGCTAAGAAATATTTCAGAGAACCAACTTCAACCGGACTTTATTATGAGAGCTCTGCTGAACTAGCAGCACATAAATTACTAAAATCACCCTTCCACACTGACCAATCAATCTCAGAAGCAGCAAGCACTTCTGTCCTTCTCCCGAGTATTTATGTTGTTTCTTCAACTATCAACACGCGGTGCTCCTATCACAATATACAAATACTAGGTTGTTACTTGTTATTATGCACTTAACCTATTCCATAAAAAAGAGAAAGGATGTGTGTGTGCGTGTGGGTTTGTGTTCTTAATTAATTAATGTCTGGTTCTTCACCGTTGCTCCGCTAATGTTCTTCAGCACACAGTTCTTATTAAATTTTAGTCAGATTTTCATTGATTGCATGAAAACAGCTTATTTTCCTAAAACATAACTTGTTCTGTGTATAATATAATGTATGACCCAATAAATATGTTTAAAAAACTTTTTTAAAATGTTCTCAAATTGGGAAGTCATATTCTCACAAGATTTCCAAGTATCGCAGGCAAATATTTGCCTTAAGCATAATATTTTCTGCTGCCAAATACAGGAAACTTTTCCTGAAAATATTTTACTCTGCCAGACCAGTGATGTCAATGGCACACAATAGCTGGCACAATAGCGGTTATCGCGGACGCTATAACGATGCTAATGAAATCTGGATGGTCTGCACAAGATATTTTGGGGCATTTTGGATTTTATCAGTTTTAAAGGGGTAAAGTAGGTTTTTTAAAATTAAAAGTAACAATATTAAAACCCTTCTAAGTCGTAAAACTCATGCCAGTCTTAAAAAAATATTTCATTTATTGTCAAGTTATTCAAAGACTATAGTCGCAACTGAGCCTTCAACTACTTTCATCTCCAACTTCTCTTATAATTTATGCTCTTCCAAGTCTCGGTGAGGAGCTTAAAAAAGCTTACGGGAAGTAATCTTGACCTTACTTTCCAGTGGAATAGTTTGACAGATTTAAAAGACAAGAGTTTCAACTGAGATTAAGGATTTTAAGACTAATGACTTATTATTGGTGTACTTTAGGATATATAAACATGTATGCAATGAAATTGTATGCATAAATATAATTATGTATTCTACATAAGAGGTACATGAATAGCAGTCATCCAGCAATCCGATATACCACTATAGAGTTTTCGTGGTAGGCTGCACAGCTATCCGGGACTGACAACACTGACAGACACAGAACATCTCAAAACACACTTTCCAGGAAAATATATTTTCCTAATGATATGCAACCAAGATGGCAAGATACAACAACAAACAGCCTTATTCCCAAAAGATTCTGGGGTGAGATGCGCAGGGCCGGCCATGGGGGCATTCTTCCTCGACAAGTGTCTAGGGCCCCCAAATTTTAGGGGCCTCCAATTTCAAAAGTAAGCCTATTAATAATATATGTGTGTATGTAATTTAAATTGTAAAGTTTCAATTAGATATCAATTCCAATATGTAAATACTCCCATGAGTATGACAAGTAGCTATGGCGGCAAGTCACGAGTGGCCTCTGACAAGCTCCGAGTAGGCTTCACCCACAGTCCCACATCCCCTTCAGCAATTAAACCGCATACATCTCTAACAATTTGATTTAGTTCATTTCATCAGTGGATTGCTTTTGTAAATAGTTTCATTGTTTAGTTCTTTTTTTTTCAATTGTTAGTCGGCTTGGGAATAGGGTCTAGGTATACAAAGTATGTGATTGTATTACACATTTACAGTAAAGTAAATAGAAAATATTAACTCATTAACTGCAATACAAGTGTAATTGTGTAAAGTATCAATCCATAAACCTATTGATTTCTTTAACAACTCAATTACTCATTTAGGTGTGTAATATAATAATTTGATTTTAATTAGTACTTTGAGAATGTATTAAAACAACTGCATTATAAGTATAAAGTGTTGATCTATAAATGTATTCACTTGCTCAAACAACTTAATTACTCATTTAGGTGCGCAAATTTTTTATCTAGTTGAATTGTGATATGTCAGTTTGATTAAAATATTGAATGTTTATAATCTTAATATCTTATTTATGATAAGCGGTAAATTTTTCTTTTTTATGAAGCATTTACTTATTACTCACTTCATCCCGCTAAGATTGTTTCATCTTTCTTTTTTCAGTCTACCCCGCCAAAATTGTCTCATAACAAATTTGATAAAGTTTGTGTGATTTTAAATCATTCTTATTTTATTCTTAATTTATCAATTCAATTTCAACCACGTAAACCCACTTTTTTTGGAACCACATCTCCTTATGTCTCAATCTTAGTAGAATGTAGGTAGTATTATTTTGAATGAAATTGTAGTATTGTGATGACGGGAAAACGAAAACATGATTCGTGGTGAGAAGAACAAACTAACAAAGGACTTGATTATAAAATCGTTTGCCGCCTCTATGAGTCTATATGTATTAAGAAACGAATGTCTATATGACAGTCTAGGGCCTCACAATTGCTCTAGACGGCCCTGGAGATGTGTGCTGTTCCTCACCATCTCAGACCCCATTTTTTCAGGCCATATTAGTTAAGATAATCTGTCCAAATGAATATTGCAGGGCAACAACTGTTTACGTCAGATTGCCATGAAACCAGAAATAAGTTGCTAGTGATAGCTTACAAATAGATCCTTTAATATTCTGTTTTCTTTCAAGAGGATTAACTTTAAGTGGAAAATAATTTCCAAGAAAGATGTTCCCTATAAGAAAATGTGCTAGAAAATGTATCTGTGAAGAAGATGGTGTTATACATAGAACATAATGCTTGACTTGACCCACAAATAACAAACTTAAGTGTTTAAGGGAAATAGCTTCTTGTTTTCAAAATGGGGAGTCATTTTCCACAATTGTGTCCAAAGAGCTGCTTGGAACGTGGAAAACGCTGGGAAATGAAACACAGAGTATCTGTGTTAGCACAACATGCTTCATAACCTAATAAATTTATTTTGAGTATCCATTCGAATTTGAATTTTTCTCTATCATACAGTAAACAATCTAAAGATATATACATTTCAAAAGCATCAACTTTTTTTTCATTTTGACGTTATAAACCCAAATATTAAAAAACTGTATTTGACACCACTAAATTGTTTGTTGAACGAATCTATTTTTCTTGATTCTTTGGGCTATGATTGAACCCTAGAAAATTCTAATTTTTCTTACCTAATTTTTTTTTTGTATGCATCAAGAAAAAGATGGTAAATTTCTTACCTTTCCTCTTCCTTCCTCTAGAACCATTTCCATTAGGCAAGTTCCTCATCAATCCACATTCAGGATTCTCAAAGCTACAGTCATTGAATCCTCCAACATCTACACCATCACCACACTGCACATTACAAGTGTTCATGACATACAATCCTTCAGAAGAAAGGTTGATATCATCAACAACTATGTTCTGATAACTCTCTCCACTCTTCTTCAATGGCTTCTGGTACGGAAAGCATCCAATTTCACCCTCAATTCTCCCTCTAATGTCAACAAGCAAACACTTAAGACGAGAAATCTCAGCCTCCATCATAGACTGGTTCTGTACTCGCCTCAAAAGTTGCTGATTTAGTGCCCTAAGTCTGATTACCTCATCCTCTAACGACGCAACCCTAGCCTTCTTCTTCTCCCTATACTTACGCACAGCTTCCCGATTCCCCGTGGGCGGTTGAAGCTTCTTCGAGCTCTTGTCTGTGGATTCGAAACTTTCATCCGTACTTGCAGCTGGAACAATTTTGGTGTGGGCATGGTAACAGGTGTGGGTATGGGTCGTATCCGGGCCGGGCGGGTTGCAAGTATGGGTATGAGTGCAAGCAGTATTATCCTTGAGAATA